CCATGTAGAGTGGGGCTTTACAGAAGGTTGGTCAGCTAACATTTAGGGTCAAGGCCACAGGTAACAGTTGGAGTGTTTGGTGGAATATTAGAAATGGAGGCTAAGTGCATGAAATACTCATGGGAAATAAGAACGCAGGGGAAACCCACACCTTCCACAAATTTGAATGACTAGGGAAGAGTAAAGAATAATTGAACATGGGTAATATATCTCAAGGTCTGAGGTGGCTCTCAGAGGGGAGATATTCCAATCAGGGATGAGTGAAAGGTATCTGGTTAGAAACAGATGTGGAAAAGAAGGAGACTTAGAGGTGGGAATATTATTGCATGAAAAATGCAAGGGCTCAAGAATAAAATTAATTTTGTTAAATTTGCATTCTGTAACCTACAAGCATAGTGTTTTGGGAAGTTAAGATGCCTCTATTTGTGAAACAATCTGGTAATTTTATTACCTGATTAACAGTTACAGCAAAAATGAGAGCCCAAGAGTGTGAAGGGTTTTTACAAACCAAATGCTTCCAGTTAGTTCAGTTGTCTGGCTTCCCAAAATTTATTCAACAAATAGTTTTAGTTCTTTAATTAAGAAAATTTCATTAGAAATTAAATGATCCATGTGAGATAGTTATTGACAACTATGCTGAGTATACCAATTAGAAGTTTTAGTCTCTTTTATTAGTAGCCAGACCTAGAGCAGGCTTGTGCCTCTGAAAAAATCCTTTGGCATCTAAGCTCAGGGATATAGAGATTTTAAGGACAAAATTTACAAAGATCATACATACTTTACACCAAAGTTAGTTGAGGATCAGAGTAACCTTGAAATGTTCATTCCCGGAAGAGTATAGTAATTATTTTAGATACAACATGCCAATTATTATTATTATTATTTTTTTTTTATTTTAGAGACAGGGTTTCTCTGTAGCTTTTTGGTTCCTGTCCTGGAATTAGCTCTTCTAGACCAGGCTGGCCTTGAACTCACAGAGATCCGCCTGCCTTTGCCTCCCGAGTGCTAGGATTAAAGGCGTGTGCCACCACCGCCTGGCATGCCAATTATTTTTTATTTATACTTTTTTAGTTACTTTAGTTTACTTTAATTATTTGGGTTAGTATGTCTGGACCATGGTCAAGACCATGCAAATCTCAACTGTCTTCCAGGGTAGAAGTGACTGTTGTGGAAGAGGGGGTAGAGAGTTGAGAACTTTCTAAGCAAGCACAAAATGGAATCAGAAGAGTGTTACCTTAGTCATTTAAGCAATAGCTATAAGATAAATTCCTATGTGAGGTTTTTATAGCTTGCCCAACTATCAATCTTGGCCTTAATATTACTGTTTTATATTTTTTGTACTCCTTTTTATTAGATTTTATCTATTTTATATTCTCAAGCTGTATCATTAATCTGCTTTTCAACTTCATGCATTAGAGCTATTTAGTCTTTTTGTACTTGTAAGTTCCTGTTTTCCTTGTTATTTTTTTCATAAGTTTGAGTTTTGTGCCGTCCAATGTTCTTCCTTCTTAAGGTTTCATATAATACACTTCTCAACTCTTTAGCTTTGTAAATTGGTAGTAAATTTAAAAGCATGGTTAGAATGGAGCTTGGTTGTTTTGGCAAGACTACTATTTTTTAGGAAACATGAATATCTTTTCATGAATTTTCAGTTTTATTTTAACTTTGTATAGAACTCCTATTTTATTTTGGCACTAAAATGTTATTTTAAATATATTTCTTAATATGAGGATTATTGCAGATGTCAGTGCCACCCAAGGCAATCAAAAGGCATGTTGTATTGATTACAATGTGGAGTGCAAATTGACTTTCTGTTTAAACAATAATTTTGATTTCCCTCTTTAATTTCTTGTGAGGGTGGCGGTTGTGGCTCAAAGTAGAGTGGTGTGACTTGTTAGTTGGCTTGCACAAGGCTTGACTTGTGAAGTTGGTATAAAGAGTCCCACGGCTCTGTGATATTCATGGGGTCATTTAATAATCCTTTCCTGGAAGACATGATATACATACATATCTACTTACCCCAGAAATTAATCTCATGATGATGGACCAAATTTGGTGAACCAATAAATTTTATTGAGACAACTAACAGAATTATGGATAAGGGTTCATTTACAGGAGCGAGAATGACTCAAAGGAAGCTACATCATCCCCAAAGAACAACCAAACACCCCCAAACTGGTGACAATTCATAGAAGCACTAAACCTGGAGCTTTCTACTGCTCTAGGTTGCTTGCTGCCTTGACAACCCCAGGCAGGTTTATCCAGAATTTTGCAAGTTTGAGCTTTCCCAGACATGCAACACTTGCTTTACCTCCTGTGGCTCCCCTTCCCTCCTGCAGGGAGTGTTACAATTCTGGAAGAAACTGTTATACATCCCTGGATGATGTGAAGAGCTTCCCAAACTGCAGACTGGGTGATAGGCCTGTGGGATACTGATTATGATAGTCAGTAACTAGGGATTTGAAACAAGAAAGAAGTATAAGTAGACCCAGCAGTGATTGGTTCTACAGAGGTGGAGCAGTACTTCAAAAAGTAGATAAAGCACAGAAGTAATTTTTTTAATTAATAATCTATAATCATGACAGAAAAGTCACTTGTAAAGTTGAATATACCAATAAAAATTAGACAACAGTATTTTATTTTCATTTTGGAAGCTAGTACATGGCTGGATTATAAGTATGGAATCAATGAGTTTCTATTTTATTTTTCATTTTGGGAATCGATTAAAATTTATTACGGGATTCAATTAAAATCAGACCTTTTCTCCCTATGGCAGTTTTGTCTCTGGTTTAAATGGATTCACCTTTAAATTTGCCATCTATCAGGATGGTGTGCCTTCTTCTTTATGTCAGATTTTCTTGATTGTTATTTTTAGTCTCACGTTGGACAGTCTTCCACTTGGATGAGCCTAGCAGTCACAAGCAACCTTTGTGTAGAACTTGGTTTTCATTTCAGACCAAAAAGTCAACTATCAGAATGATATTTGACTGTGGTGGGGTGGGGGCACAGGGGAAACTTCTTGATGCTTCTAACCAGCTATCCTGATATTTTGCTGTTGTTTGAGTCTGCAAGGAGGTGGGTCTGGGTCCTTATGTGGAGCTTCAACTGGAATCTGTCTGCCCTTAAAGCTCCCTCCAGTCCTTAAGTCTGGCTGTTTATGGGTAGAGATTTTCTCCAGTGCTTCATGGACTTGTCCTTCATATAAATTCAGGTAATTTACCTAAGCAGAATGTATCTTTTCTTGCATTAATTGACAAGTATATGGAGCTGCTCCTGAGAACAGAGTAGGGTGGGAACAGCCTAAAGAAAGCTTCTGCAAAGAGAAGCATCCAGAAGGACTGAAGACAAGGAGCTGTGAACGTGATTCCTGAAGACAAGCACCAAACCTTTACCCGCCTTCTCCTGAAGGCCCAGAACTGCTTGGAGCCGTTTTACTAATCACTGCTAATGTCTGAATTGGCATTTCCCTTCTGTTTCCCATTGTTTTTCTAGGAACTTCCCCTAAGCTTTGATTTTATTATTACTTTCTTCTTACACTTTTTCTCTTTTTCATTTTGTCCCCTTCTTTTGTGTTGGATTGTCGCTTAGAGATGAAACAGTTTCTGTAACCTCTTCTGTGGGCAAAGGGTTACTTTTGCTGAACATTCGCAAGGCCCCACACTGAAATACTAGACAATTGTGCCTTTTCTATGTGCAAGGGTTTTCACACCAGGAGCCACTTGTTGCTGCTAATTTTTGGTGTCAGTAGATATAAGGTCCTAATCTAATATGAACAGCAAATCATACGGTACTTTAGACCTGTACTCTCTTTCAAATGCACTATTTTCTTATTGTCCATTGCCTTCCCTACTCCCTTCCTTTTACTATTGATTATTGCTTTATAAGCCCAAACACATGTTCCTTGTCATTTCTGAGCATAGCTGACACAGATAAATAGATGTTCTTCTATTTTTTTCCATTCCACCTGCCCATAAATTCTGTGACCTATTGCTGTTTAGATGTCTCTTCTTAGCTAACAAATAAGCGTTCTTGGTTTGTGGCAGTAAAGACTTTGAATGAATCGAGCCGGAGTTTCCTTCACTTGTTACAGCTCTGAGATATTCTGATCTTAGAAACAAAAATTTTGAGTTGTAATATCTTCATTAAGTCCACAAACTTTCTGGTCTCAAAAATGATGGAGTACCCCTGAAGAACATTTATTCATGTGAGTTAATATCTGTCATGTTCATGGTGCTAGATCTTAACACTGAATACAGTTTTAAACACAAGAATCTTTGGGTGCTCACTGCACAAGATAGCAGAGTCTCTGACAGCACATGCTTTGCACTCATGAGAAAACAGGAGTGGAGAATTATATTTTCCTATTCCTTTGAAGAAAAATTGAACCTAATAGAACTCTAAAAGGCATACAATGGTCCCCAGAAAATATTAAAGCAGACAATTATTGAAGTACTCGATGGCGGTTTCTTGTGCTGTAAACTCCAGAAATGGTGAGATGAAGGGTAGGAATTCGAGAGAGTATTTTTGGCACCAGAAATTTATACTAATGTAAGTCTCCATACACGGACTAGATATTCCTGTATAACCAAATGTAGTTAATGAAAAATGATGTAGTATCTTTTCTTGGCCATTAAAACCTTAGTCTATTGTCTCATATTATAATCTGGAAATTGGTGTCACTGGTTTAGTTTTGTGAATTCAGACCCTGATATGATCACTGCTACCAGAGTACCAAGGTTTTCAGTTATATTTCTCATTATCTGATCAACCAAGTAACATTAGAAAGACATATGTCAAGCATTGTATACCGTTTCTGTCTATAAAACCTTGTTGAAAAATCCATTCTCTTATAAAAATGCAAAGCATGGATATTGTTTAATCTTGAAGCAACTGCATTAGGTAATTACCAATCCAATCAGCTCAGTGTGAGTTCCTGGGTAGCCTCCCGTCTCTGTGTGAATATCTAACCACCTGCTTAAAGCTCTGCTTCTTTTTTTCAGATAGTTTTGAAATAACTGCACCCTCAAATGGCTACCTGTCTGCAGAACCTGGACAAAATGTCACACTCAGTTGCCAGCTTCCAAATAACTGGCCAGTGCAACAAGTAATGTGGGAAAAAGTCCAGCCCCATCAGGTAGATGTCTTAGCTTCCTGTAACCTATCTCAAAGGAAAACTTACACATCAAGGTACCTAAGAAAAACATGGAGCAACTGCAGCCAGGGGAGCACACCGAGTGTCCTCATCATCCCCAATGCCACGTCTGCTGACTCTGGACTTTACAGATGCCGTTCTGAGGACAGCACAGGAGAACAGAAAACCTATGTCATAAGGCTGATCATAACTGATGGTGAGTGACAAGAGATGTTCCAAGTGTCAAAAGTAGACAAAAAACTGGCAACAAACAAAACAAAAAGCGCACTGTGAATTGGTCTCCTCTCCTTTAATTTGTAGTACACGTGTTCCTTTAATGGGAGTCTTTTGTATGTCGATGTTTTTAATGTTTAAATATGAAGCTTCTAGAAAAGTCGGTTTCTATATGTCTCTTTGGAAAGAACTTCAATATGATTTATTTTTCTTCATAGTCTAAAAATATTTTACCTAAGACTCATGTGCATATGTATGTTTTAATAAATATTTTTATTGGTTTAATTAAGCATGTTGAACTTTACTAAATTGTAGGATTTGGTATTTATCTGGTTAACTCTTTTATCATAGACTTACGAATAGAAATGTTTCATTTTACATTTTTTTTACAGAATTTGTGTGTGTGTGTGTGTGCGCGTGCGCAGGTACACACGCACACCTGTGTATACAAATGCAAAGGTGAATAATTGAAATCTGGGCTTTCTCCATTGCTCTCTACCATTTATTTTCCTTTCTTCCATTCATTCTTCCTTCCTTCTTTTCTTTTCTTTCTTTTCTTTCTTTCTTTCTTTCATTCTTTCTTTCTTTCTTTTGAGATGGCTTCTTTCACTGTCAATGAACTCAAAACTCAGTTTTGTCTGCATTGAGTGTGTGCCCTTCCCCAGAATATATGAGTCTCTATTTCAACTCATGCTGGGGTAACAGTCACACTCTACCCATTGGTTTTGTGGGTTCTGGGAATCCTCTTGCTTCTGTGGCAGGCACTTTATTTGCTGAGTCATTTCCCAAGCCAAACATTCCATTATTTTGTTTTCACACTTGCTACATTTATGAACACACATGTGTGCAAACACTCACAAACACACAGACTCACACGCACACATGCAGAGGATATTATCAGCCTGTATCTTCATTGTCTCACTTCTCACTGTGGATTTGAGAGAGATGCCTGGATATCATGATCCTCAGAAGTAACAGAATGCTGTAGCAATGGTTTCTAAGTTTTGAGAGGACTGTGCTCTCAGATTCTTGACAGTGTGTCACAGACCACTGACCTTGAGGTTTACAGGACAGTTCTCTGAGGCTGTACTTCTTTTTGTATTCAGAATTTGTCTCCTCTGTCATAATGAAGTTTAAAATGTTGTAAACATCAGGGTAATCAAAAGTTGCATCTCTTCTTATGAGAGCAAGAAAGAAGTTTTCTCGGTCTATAGAAGTGAAAATACAAAGGCCAATGCTAAGGCGTTGTAGAGGTCTGTACTACTGGAGTAGGGAGTCAGGCTTTTCTGTTTCTGCCTCTGGGAAACTCTCTCACTGCCCAAGAGCAAAGTATTATTTTACCGGTAAAAAATTTATTATCCCTCTCTTCTTTTTATTTTTCAAGTCCACCTTCCTTTCTTTTCTGCCTCTATGCACTTCTTTCTTTCTTCCCTCCTTTCTTCTATCTCCTGCTTCCTTCTTTTTCTTCTTTCTGTCCCCTTCCCCTCCTCTCTCCATCCATCCTTTCCTTCTCAACTGCTTTTTGTTTTTCTTCTCTCATCTTGTTTCCATTCTTCCACCTATCTCTTCCTTTCCTTCTTCCTCAGATCTATCCTGGCTTCTTACCTACTAACCTTCCCTACCTATCAGAACTTCCCTTCCATTCCCTCCCCTCCCCTTCTGTTGTTCCCTTCCCTTCTCCCCTTCTCCCCTTCTCTCCTCCTTCTTCCTCCTTCCTCCCCTCAATTCCTTCCTCTCTCCCTCCCTTCTTTCCCCCTCCCTCCTTTATTACCTTCTTCTTTAATTTCAGTGAGTTTGCTTGCCTTGGCAGTGCCTAAATATTTATAGGCAATTCTTTCAACCTGTGGCTGCCCTCACAGTTTCTGCTCATATTGGAAACTGGTCTTTCTTTCTGCATTGGACTAAATTAGGGAAGATTCAGTGTAACAGCAGCCTCTGCCTGCTGCCACTGCAGCTCTGTGTAGAGAGGACAGCAGCTACTGGAGAATAGCAGATTTTCATGAGCTGAGGGACAGAGAAACATTGGACTGAAAACAATATCAAAGAATGGCTGGTTGAACGAATATTTGGTGTGTGGGGGTGGGGGAGAAATATTAACAGAATGCTTTGTCTTACCTGTTGAGTATTCCTGTAGGCACAGACAGGAAATGCTTCTTACCAAAAAATCTCTTGCATCACGGAAGTTATTTTGGATTGGGACCAAACAAAGAGTAAGAATGGATGTTATTTTTTTGTTTAAAACAATGAAAAGGGCAAGTACATATCCTATACAGAAATTTCACAGAGCAACTTTCAAAAATGTATGAAATAAAGTCTTATGTAGTAAATCCAGAGAATATGTTTATAAACTTCTTAGGTCATAGAAAAAGCAAAGGGAACAGGTTTTAGGAGATGCTGTTTAACTTTTACAAATTAGTGAAAATGTCTTTTCTTTCTATGTTGAATATATTTCACAAAACTATTTCTCTGGAGATAAAGTATAAACAATGTAAAAAAAATCTGCCATCAGATGGAGGTGACAGTGTAATAGCAGGTATTGTTAGTGTCCACAAGGCTTGAACAGATGCAAAATAACTTTGACATTTAATTGACAGATTAAAAGAATAACAACTGGATTTTATATCTGTTAGCAAAAATTATAATTGATGGAAGATGAAAACCATTGATTGTATGCTATGACTTAATCTTTTTTTTCAATTATTGTAAGTAAAGATAAATCTAAAGCAGCTACCAGACAGCAAGCAAGGAGGATGATTTGTGTTTCCTGTGGTGTGATTTGATTATCTCAAATCTTGAGGCTATTTGGTCAAAAATCAATGTAGAGATTAAAGCAGAGAGACAAGTATAAGGTGTGAGGTGGATTTAAATCATCTCAACTGTCAGGGTAAAGGTGATTTTGACACATGTTTTATAAACTGCCACATATTCTTCCCTTAGCTTCTCTCCATTTCTTTTAAAGGACACGTTATTGCATGATATCCAAATGAGCTTCTTAAGGGGTCTCAAGTTTACATGTGTGTGTGTGTGTGTGTCTTGATTTATTTTAAATAAAAAATGAAGGTGGTAGAAACATGAATTATTTGCCATTGAATTTATTTACAAAACATTGAAGCTTTTTGTTATTCATGTATACTCTTGGCTTTGGAAGCAGTAAGAAACAGTTTCAAATTGAAATTACTGATTTTGAACCTCAACTACAGAGACCGGTGACAGGATGAAATGTGTGTTTGTAGCCAAGGACTACATATCTTTTTATTTTTTAATAGCCTTTATATTTTATTTAGTAGCAAGAAAATGTTTCATGTCCCAAGGGGGAAAATATGAAGTTCTTTTAATGTTAACCAAATGAGGCAAAGACTATTATTATTTAAACTGCACTTGCTAACATATAAAGAATGAGAATAAAATAAACGACAACAGGTCACTCGGAAAGATCAGAGATAAGACTGGAAGGAACTGTTTGCTGCTGGTTGATGGGATTGCTGTAGTCCGTGTCCAATTGTCTTTAATGAGGCCCCTTGATTGAGCCAAGTTCTATAGGAGGTAATGTTGATAATTAGAGCTGAGCAATGAGGGTAAAATGGGTCATGGAGGACAAAGAGAACTTTATATTTGATAATGGGGTAATATAATATATGTAGCATATTATAATTGGATGGCTAAATTGGTCCAGTCTGAACCATGAGAAAGCCACAACTGGCTTCCAAACAAGTTTGGTAGGATAGTATTCCAGGAAAAGTGGGATGTTCATATGTTTCTGTGTATAGGTCTTTCAACTCTGCTTACACTTATTCCTACCTTATTTCTTCCTTTTCTCTTATGATTATTTTTAATTCCTTTAGTTTCATGTTATATAGAGAAACATGCCTGATCTTTTTCTATTTGATTTTATATATTACAACTTAAAAATACATTTATTAATTCTAGAGATGAGGTATATTTCTATGTATGGTTAAGCACAGTCCTTAGGGTTTTATATGTGTGCTAATGTCATATGCAGACATTTGCTTTTTTCTTTCCTATCTGTATCTCTCACATCTATTTATCTGCTATGGTGAGGGATTATCTTAGTTGTAATGGTGAGAGTGGATATATTTATTTTGTTCTCAATCTTAAAGGAAAAGTTTTCAACTCTTCACTGTTGAGTCTGATGTTAGCTATGTCTTTTCATATATTGCCTTTACGATTGAGAGGTTCATATATGGCCTTTATTACTGAGAGATGTGATGATATTTTGTTTGTGCTTTAACAAATAAAGCTTGCCTGAAAATCATTGTGTGTAACTAGCCATACTAGTTAACAATAGAAGACAGGCAGTGGAGGCTCACACCTTTAATCCCAACACTTGGGAGTCACACACCTTTAATCCCAGCACTAGGAAGATGGAGACAGGAAGGGATATGGCTTTGGAGGAGAGAGGGATATAATGCAGGAGGAGACAGGAACTCAAGGCATTCAATCTGAGGATTTGTGGAGACAAGATCTTGCACACTTTGCTCTGAGGATTAAGTAGAGGTCTCTCTAGTGGCTGTCTCCTTTGCTTCTCAGATCTTTCAGCATTTACTCCAATATTTAACTCGTAGTTTTTATTATTAAGACCAATTAGAACTTGTGCTACACAGTGGTTTTCGTAAAACATGATAAGATGCTAACTTATATCAAATGTCTCTTCTACTTCTATGGATATGTTCATGTGGTCTTTTATATATTTTAAGATAATGTGGTATATTGACTGTTTTACATGCATTGAAAAATACTTAAATACCATTTTTATTGGGTTATTTGTTCTTTTGGTGACCAATTTCTTGAGTTCTTTGTATATTTTGGAAATCAGACCTCTGTCTGATATGCGGTTAGTGAAGTTTTTTTTTTTCCCATTCTGTAGGCAGTCGTTTTGCCTTGTTGACAGTGTTCTTTCCTTTACAGAAGCTTTTCAGTTTCAGGAGGTCCCATTTGTTAATTGTTTCGCTCAGTGTCTGTGCT